CCTATTTTCAAGGCTAAAAATTTCATTTTTTTTTTAAAATAAGTAATCATGTGAAATCATTTATCAAACGTTGCTAATATTATATTAATTCATAAAACCATTGCGTCGTGTCTCAAAAACATATCACCGGATAATAGTAATAATCAGAGTACAATCCCAGAAAACTCAATGCGGAAATCATGCGTGAGTGTGATGTGCCGCTACCGCGCCGGCTCCTTCCCCTTCGCTGAAGAGGTACCTGAAACAAAACTGAAATCTGTAAGCACGAAGCTTAGTGAGTTCCCCCATCATACCACATACCATACACACACATGACATACATACTGCAGGCATATCTGCGTGCCCGACCTACCCCTTCAATCCTCTCGACCGGTGACCTTGCCTAGCATATATGGGTGTTGGCCTACCTCTTCGGTCCTCTCGACCGGTGACCTTGCCTAGCATATCTGGGTGCTGGTCTACCCCTTCGGCCCTCTCGACCGGTCCATCACATACAGTCACGTAATCATAATCTAACATAGTTGGGTACTAAACTACCCCTTCGGCCCTATCGGCCGGTAACTTGGGGACTATCTTCCCCCTACTACTACCATCATCACGTAACATCATATCATGCTAGCACATAAACATAACAGGTTGTAGCAAACCTAGATGAATATCACAAAGACAATCATCTAACATACAACTCCTACTGGTGGGCCGACATTGTGGCCGTAAACCCACCGCTGCTGGAAGGGAACTCACCTCGTATGAATGAATGCTGTCAATCCGAGTGAGAAGTCTCTTTCTGCTGCTCCGACGATTCTCCGGCTATAATTCCCATAAAGCCACTTAGTCAGAAGCTGATAACTACTCTTATGGTAAAATGACTATTTTACCCCTGGCCAAAGTCAATATCCTGGTCAAAGTCAACTTCCAATTGACCTGACTCGCCGAGTTGGGCCGCCAACTCGCCGAACCCCTATTCTTTCATCTGACCCCCTCCCGACTCTACTCGTCGAGTTAGCAAAGACTCGACGAGTTCTCCTTCTATAATATCATCGACTGCACCTTCATCCGACTCGCCGAGTTGTATGAACAACTCGTCGAGTTCACCGTCATCCTATGAGCATGTCCAGTCTGCGACTCGCGGAGTTGTATGAACAACTCGTCGAGTCCATCTTCAAAGGGTTGGGAGATTGCCTTGGACTCGCCGAGTCTGTTCATACACTCGCCGAGTCCTATGATTCCCAGGTCCATGGCTAAGTCTAATATGTTGAGTCACTCCCCTGGACCCCTCTAAGACCCTTCTAACACTCAACTGGGTTCCTTTGAACCTCGACAGACTGGGGACTCAAGCCCTGGACTCGCCGAGTTCCAAGAACAACTCGACGAGTCGGTGTTGTCCAAGTCTTATATCTCGATTTCTGATGTACAACACTCATCCAAAAGACAGATATGGGCTTCTAAGATCGATCTAGCATGTAAATTTATGAACTTTACGTGCATGGATGGGAGTATAAGCTCAATGGACCCAAAAATGAGGTCTAAAGGTGCATGTTGCGCTCTATGGCTACAAAGTTGGCCACTTTAGGCCATGTAGTCCCCTAAGGACCCTGGATCTGGAGTCTTAACCCCCAACCATGCTTGCACTCTTGATTGGTCACCAAAAATGGTTCCTAAAAGCCCTAATTCACTCCAAAAAGGGATCTAGAACATGAATGAACAAGGTATAAGCTTTATACCTCTAAGGAACTCTAGATGCTGCACAAACTCGAAATCTTCTGGTTTCCTCTTGGCTCCTCAAGCTTTTCCTTCTTTCTTGTGATCACAAACCACCAAAATCACCAAAAAGAGCCTTAGATCTCACAAAACGATTAGGGTTTCAGTATGAGGTGTTCTGGGAGCATAAGGGACGATGGAGGCTGCATTAAGACGTTTAAATAGGGTGCAATCCCTCAGATTTAGGGTTTTGTCCAAACAACGCCTACTCGTCGAGTCGGTTCGCCGACTCGTCGAGTAGGTCACTAAACTCCCGTGTCCAAAGTCGATTCTACTCGACGAGTTGGACCTTCAACTCGCCGAGTCCTAGGCCAAAATGTTATAATTACTTGAATAAAAATACGTACCAGGAACCGGGTGCTACACCTGCACTCCTATAAACTTTATTTAGCCTGAAAACCAACCGAACTTAAATCCAAAATTCATAAAAGGCCCGAACTAATGCCTTTACCGATACCCTTGGGCTGTAAAGTACAAACCGAACCCTTTCATCACATAACCAACATCACCCACATCCAAATGGGTCTAACCTTTCTTACCCAAGGCCTTAAGCCTTATGATAAATGATGATCGGGCCACGGTCCCAAATAATGAAGCGATTCGAAACCGAGCGTTACAGCAGGGCATAGCCCAACTTACGCCCTACGTACCACGTTGTCAAAATGATTTTGTAAAAATCACAACTCTTTCGTAAATGAATTTGTAAAAATCATAACTCTTTCATGCGAGCTCCAATTTAAGCCCTCTTTATATATGTGTAATGATCTCAAGGAGTACTACAACTCTCTTTTAGTTTGTTTTAGCTAGTTTTGACTTTCATTTTTATGTCTAACGGGGGTAAAAATAAATGATTTTACAAAAATCATATCTCTCTCATACGGATCCCGTTTTCGGCATTCTTTGTCTTAAATTTTATATCTCAAGGAGTACTACGAATCTCCTTTTTACACTTTTAGTCAAAACTCAACCAATTTCTAAGTGCCGTTTTGACGTAATTAACTTTAATTATACGATTGATTTTTATTTTTATAAAATCCATAACTCTTTCATTTGGAGTCGGATTTTTACGTTAACGAGTACTTTCCAAATACGTTCCAGCTTAGAAGACGGTACAACTTTTTGGACGCTTATTTTTTAGTCTAGCAGTCGATTTAACTATAAACGTAACGACATATTTGATTTTTATTATCTCAGAAATCAGATATTACAATATCAAGATATTACATCTATTTTTCCTACTCTCTCCTAACGGTGTTCAGTGACGGAATCCTCTCGGTTGTCACATTGTACGTGCTACGGCTTGCGCTTCGCCCGAAGCTCCAACTCAATCTACTGTTCCTATGTTCTAGCAATCATGTCATTTAGGGTCTTGCACCCAGACAAGCTCACAAACTCTCTAATATCATCTCTCAACATATCATGATATCTCATCTTCTTCTTCTCCTCATCCAGATCATACTACGGAACCAACATAGCCCTCTCTCGGAACTTGGCGGTGATCTCTGTCACGGTCTCAGTAGTCTGGCGAAGGTCATGGAACTCCATCGTCAACTGTTGCACCTCAATAGTCGGTGAAAACTCCAACTGGAACCTCGTCACAAAATCCTTTCAAGTCACGGATACCACAGTTGCAGATCCCAATGCACGACCGATCTCCTCCCATGTAACACTCCAAAAATCACACCAAATTTAAACTTAAAAAAAAAAACAACCCAAAATCATAAAAAGTTTACAAGATCATTATTTCTAAATTGTTTATCAATATTAGAGTATCCCAAAATCATACAGCCAAAACAGAGGATGTGCACAGTCACGCCTTCTCCTTCCCACGATCATCAGAAGTACCTGAAACCATAACCAAAAACTGTAAGGCAACGCTTAGTGAGTTTCCCCTAAAGTACCACCAAATAATATATAACAAATAACAGCATACAATGGGTCAGTAGCTAAAAGACTGGATTACCCCTGAGCCTACAGTATGAGTTTGGCTTGCCTATCGGGCCCACGACTCATATTTGGCTTGCTCCTGAGCCCACAACATAATTCTGGGTTGCCCTTGGGCCCACAGCTTATGTCTGGCTTACTCTCGAGCCCACAACATAAGTATGGCTTGCCCTCAGGGCCCACAACTTATGCATGGCTTGCTCCAGGGTTTGTTGGCTACAACACAAAGCAGTATTACCTCAACCCAACCATACTATGTCGACATATACTCAACATATAACCAGTCAACAGACAATCAGGTAGATCTACTGATCACTAAGAATAGCAACATCCTATATACCAGGATACAAATCTAACATATCACTACAGCACAATAACATATTATCATATAATGGGATATCTAATCCACTGGGCCGACCTTGGTGCCTTAGACCCATGAGTACAGTGAGGATAACTCACCTCACAGTCTAAACAATAGCTGATAAGGTTCTGACTCCGAATCTCAGCTCTAACTGTCATCTATCCAACCAAATGACCAATTTTCAAATACCATTCAAAATACCCAAAATACCCCTTGGTCAAACTTGGTCAAATCTAACAAGTCAACCCAACCGAGTCAACTTAGCCGAGTCGACACAGAACGCATACGCAGGGCGTACTCTGGCTTGACAATGATCGGGGTAGTTGACCGGGTACACTCAGCGTACACACAAGCACTACTAGAAAAACAGCCTTTTACGACGCGCAATGCGCGTCATAAAACGCTCAGACGACGCACAAATGTGTGTCAAGGAAGGCCCTATCATAACGAGAGACGACACGCTTTTGCATGTCGTCTATAGACGACGCGCATTTACGACGCACATTTATGACACACATTTACGACACGCATTTACGACGTGCAATGCGTATCAAGGAAGACTCTGTCATAAAGGAAGACGACACGCATTTGCGTGTCGTAACCTTACGAGGCACGTTTAGGACACGCATTGCGTATCATTAAAGTCCATGTCATAAATGAAGATGGCACACATTTGCATGTCATAATACAAAAATATGGACTTTAATACATTTACGACGCGTCTTTACGATACTCATTTACGCATAATACAAAAATATGGAAACAAATATATACCAAAACAATCAATTTCATCCATAACATCATGTCAAAAAATTGTAATACATTGGTATTAAGGGGATCCGATTGTATATTTTTATTAAGAGGTTTTTCCTAACTATATAACCTAATACTACATTGCTATTAAGGAACACCTTCTTGTTTCTACTTCTTATTGTTATGCTTCTGTTTCCACATGATGCCTGTTTCCAAGACAAGTAAACTTGCTCTTATTGGGGCTGATAGAATTTAGATATAACAACAATGTTATATTTAAAGGAATAAAAAAAGTAGGAATGTAAGGGAAACATGAAGGGGAATAAGATAGCATAACCTCACCATAATCAACAAACAGTTTGTTTGCTCGCTAGTATGCTTCAATCATAACCAATTACCTTCTTTCATACAGCAGCAAAATAGTCATTTCCATTAACTCAACAACTTCCTTCTCATCATATTTTGCAACTCAAAATGTTCATACGGCTCCCATTTGATAAAAGAAAGATTTCTTCGTCTTATATTTATATTTATATGGGCTTTTGTAAAAAAAATACCAATTCAAGTGGGTGGCCCCAAAGACTCATTATCAAATTCAAATGGGTGTGGTGTGGATAACAGGTCAAAATGGTAACTTTTTCTACATTTTTTATTTTATATTAGTGTTAAATATGATTCAACAACAACAATACCCAGATCCCATATATAGGAATGGGGTAAGATGTAGATAATCGGACCTCCACCCCAAGGTACAGGATACAGAGACTGCTACATATGATTATACAGTAATATATCTATTTTTTTAATAAAGCATTTAGGAGCTTCTATGCTTTAAAAATAACTCCATGGAACTTTCAACCTTTTGACGTGTTTCACTTCTGCTTATTTTACCAAATTTACCCCTATAGAGATAAAACTTGGCCCAAATCTGCTCATTTATAACTTATAAGGAAATTGCCACCTCTAATCATACTTATTTGAGGATATAAACAAATGGTGTCTATAGTTTTATAACAACTTATATCTGATTCTGGTTATTTTGTATCACATGACATAATCTGATTATGGTTATTCTGCATCACATGACATAATCAGTTTTAAACCCTTGATATATGAGGAATAAATAATAACAAAATTCACTTTTAATATTGTAACTCGAATGAATACCATATTTCATACAACATAGACTAAAACATATAGAGGATCCAGGGACCAACATTTTTCAACCATTTTCGAATAATTATTTCAGAAACCAAAATAAAAAAAATTAATTAAAAGACAAGGAAAGGAAAGGATACTAGAAAATAACCTTGGGTGAAGAGTCTTGATCTCTTCCAAATTTTGATACACCTTTGACATTACAAGGCGTACATACCTGAAAGAAAGAATATTATATTTTGTGTTTTGTTATCATTAAAGAACACAACATTTACATTAAAATCATACCGAATCTCATACTCTTTCCGCTCTCGAGGGGTAATCTGATAAATCACAATAAGATGAGATGGATGCTTTAGGCCATAATTATTATAACTCTAAGGTTAAATGTAAAAAAAATAACAATGTAATGTACTTATTTGATTTGTTTAGTAATTAGTATAGCATCTTCCTATTCCAGTAGTATTATACCCATTTATAGAAAAGTCATCTAAATACTAAGCACTTTTCACTACTGCTATATTATTATTTGCAGACTATAATACAATGTCCTAATAAGAAAAAAATATAAAAGTAGCTAGCCAGCTAGGTTGATATATATATTTAGAGAAAGTATGCTCCTGCTATTTCTTGCATTTAGCCCTAAATGTTATGAAAATGGTGATGAATGAATTTATTACCTCACTCCCATTTAATATGTTTACTTTGGCCAAACGAACAATCAAAACAAATCTTACAAGCCCACCTCTGCTTGGATCGGTTATTGGATTCTCAGAGCACCTAATATCCTGCATTTACAAACCATAGGGATAGGCTTCAATATAATTATATCATCTCATCTGTGGCATTATCTATAATATGATTGGATCACTAGCTGCATTTATGTTTATTGTTACTCTACCTTCACTATTTTTGTTTTTGTTAATGTTATTATTCATGTTACCTAACTGTTAATGTTATTGTTTGACTACTTTCTACAACCATAGTTATCAGATTTGTGAGCAAAAATAAAGATAAATAAGCTTACCTACCATTAAGCCAGGATAAGAATTTAGGGCATCAATGGAAGATGTCTCCTGGATTTTATTACCTCCTGGACACACGCCATAAATTTTCAATAACTTGGAATTGTTCAAGTAAGATAATATAATCCCAAAAAAATGCAATTAATTACCAATAAGTAGGCAATGCAAATTTTGGAAAGGCTTATCAGGTTCATTTGTAGCTGAGGGGTACCAAATGCGCTCTATGTTATTCTTATTCAACTGAAGTTGCTCCAAACTGAATACAATTTCAAGTAAAGGATAAAGCTTTCACAAACTATTATAATATTAACCTTGAGTAAGTCATCGCTGAGGGATAAAAGCGAATCCAGAGTGCCAACATGAAGATTTGGGATATTAAACTGCAAAATTACTCAAATTGAATAAAATACTTAGTAAAATTGAACGAAAGTGATTATGATGATTGCTATACCCTGTAGAGAGGAGTGTCAAATGAGTTTTTGGAGATGGATTCTTCTAAGCGACTCCACAAAGAAGAAGCAGAACTCTAAACGGGAAGAGAAACTATCCAGTATCTGGTAGCCATTGGTGCTCAAAATTCTTAAGATCGAGAACGGAGGTTCCCGATTGTTGAATTGAATTATGGTTTGCAACAAAGAATCAAAAGGGGGAAAATTAACTAGATCTCTCCTCCAAATAGAAATCGACGAATTCATGAGACAGATTGACTTCGTTTTGAAAACATCCATGAAGTCAACTTTAGAAGCAGTAATAATCGATTCAGATTCGCTTTCTATTCAAACATGTTCAATTTTTTTGTAGGATACGGTCCCAATTTTTACATAGGAACCACCAAATCATTCAAAACTAGAAAAAAAGTATGTGAAGAAACGAACAATAAAATGATTACCTGGCTCTCTGACGCAGAAGTTTCAAAGGTGATGCCGAGATGCAATTGGGAAGCTAATGGAGCAAAGTTACAGTTCTTCGTCTGTGTGTTTTTCAATTTATCTGTGGGGAATCAGAAACAAACGAGAATCAAGATTTGCATTCCTAATATTGAGACTTGAGAGTATAATACTGAATTAGGGCTTTTTCTGACAATTTCAACATCGAGTGGGAGATATGGTGGTTCCAGTGGGTAGAAGTAAGTGAGCCTTGATCGATGTCAACAAACAGGGAAGAATCGGTGGTGGCGGTCGGAGTTCAAGGGAAAGAAGCAAGCAACACTCGATGTAGGGAGGCGGAGGAAGACCGGAGAAGATTTTTGTGGTCAAAGAACACACCCAGAGCTAAAGAGGGGAAACAGGGAAGGAAGGCGGGTTTTCTAATTTTTTTTATTTCCTTTTTCCCGTTGCTAGTTGCTGAAGAGCGCGTTTGTAAAATTATAAAGCGACATTTCTAGATGACACGCCTTTAACATAAGCGCCCTCCGTGTTTTTTTTTTGTGAGACACTAATTTTAGGGCACGCAAAAATGCGCGTCCTAAACTCTTCAAATTTCTAAAGATCTGACATTATTTTTAGGGCATGCCCTTTTGTGTATCATTAATCGGTGCGTGTCGTAATAAGCGTGTCATTAAAGGTCTGTTTTCTAGTAGTGAGGTACGCACGACATACTCACAGAACTTCTCTTTTCACATTAAGAGCTTAATACTTTGACTTAATGCGTCCAATTGCATATCCAAGGCTAAAATATCCCCAAGAGTCATAAAGTTTCCAACTTTATGACCTTGCAAGTCCATTAAGTGCTTAAAACACAAAAACCCAACATCTTAATGTATTAAGATCTCCTGTAGTATGCATGGAGTGAAACTAAACCCCAAGGCTACATTTTTATGAATTAAGACCCCTCCAAAGGTCTGAAAAGACGACTCAATGGGTCAAGAACATGCTATGCTCAAGAATCACTACATTTGGGACAAAAAGAACCTAAAATCAAATCCGAAATAAGATCTAAATGAAACTTCACCAATTTCAGAACGTTATACCTCCAAATAATGCCAAATGATGGTGTGATTCTGGATCTAAAGTGCTTCACTCCTCCAAGATGGTTTCTACTTCCTTCCTTCTTCTTCAAAGGCACAAAACACACATACTCAAGCTTAGAAATGCTTCACAAGGTGGATTAGGGTTGCAAAGTCGTTTTAAGAGGATGGAGGCCGATGAGAGGAGCCAAGGTTAAGAGTTAATGATGAATAAATAAGGTCCAAACCCTAAATATTAGGGTTTGGGACTTCACCCCGTACGCCCTACGTACTCAAAACGTACGCCTATCGTACGTGGCTCCGCCCCAACAATCTAAAAATGGCAATAACAGTCCCTCCCATCCATTAGTCTTACATTATAAGGACAAAACTGCAATAAATCTCAATGTAAGGGTGAAAAGAGAAAGTACATCAAAACCAAGATGTTACATCCCACCAATCACGAGCTCGGTCCCTCAAAAGCCAGGATGCAACCCCACCTTCTCCCCCTCGGGGCAGAAGCTCGTTCGCTGAGCATTCTCCATGTCAGCGATCCATCGACGGCTAGTAATGGGGTCCTTAGCCCCAAAGAACTCTGGAGCTTCACAAGCCTTGGACTCCAGGAAAAAAGGAGTCCATGCTCCTAACTGTCCTGCCGCACCCAAAAGGCCCCAAGACGCTCATCCAAAAGCTTCATAATCTCATCCTTGATGGTACCGAAAATCACAGGGGCGACCTCCATAATACAACGAGTAATCTCCGATGTAATAAACTTGCGCAATACTAGAAACCTCTACCAACACCGTTGGTTGCCTTATGCATGTAAATTATACACAAGATGGGACCACATAGACTGTCGAATAATGATTTTACCCTAAGCCCATAACCAGACAAGGAACAAGAAATAACGTCAAACCAATCATTCTAGGGCTATATGATGATAATCGTATATAGTTTTTTAAAGCATACACTTAGCAATTAACTGATCCGGTATTAATCCTGAGTAATACATAGATTCCAATCCTCCTAGGCTACAAGGCATCATACAATCAGGCAATTCTAGCATACGATTCTTGAAGGTATCCTTAGCTTTACTCTAGCATGCAATTCACATATCAGGCATACTAGTCATAATACATTAGTATGAGTATTTTGGGAATTGGGGAGTTGATGAAGATAAAAAATAACAAGAAGTGTGAACTTCTCTACAAGTATCCACCATCCAATAGTAAGGAACTTGGAATGCTAGTTCCCTTTTTGTATTCATAACTTCTTAAGCCTTTAAGTGCTTAACACAGTTAAGCACTAAAAGAGAAGCATTTCTACACCACTAACACTTACATCTAGTCTTCAAAAGAGAGAAAAATAGGGAGAGAAGAAGGGTTACAATTTAAGAGAAAAAGCAAGGGAAAAATAAGCAACCACAAATGCAAACTCCATGCACTCTTTTTATACTTGCAAAAGAGATCTAATTCCCATACCTTATCTTACATGAAGTGATGGACATTTAAGAGTCATGATGCATGGAGTGTGAAGTGAAACAAACAACCCTCATCCTCTAAGGATAGGTTCAACCGAAGGTGTACAAGGGTAGGCCCTTGGTTTGTCTCTCACTTTTGCCCAAAATGTACATGACTTATTCTAGTAATATCTAATATGCCCAAAATGTTGTACATGACATATTATGTCATACATTATAAAATAATAACTAAGTTATAACCTCTAGATATATTATTTTCAGAAAACAATAATTTTCCGTAATTAAACACAAGAGTTGATTATTTATTAATAATCATATTAATAATAAACATTCAATATGTGTCAACTTAATAAGGGTGTGACCCTATAGGATCATATGTCATTAGCAAATGTCATTCAATAATGTTTCTTAAGCATATAGATCCAACAATTATTTCCAAGATGTGAAGACTAATGCTACTTCCTTGTTTGCATCCCTTTAGGGCTTCCATGATCTCAAATCACTTCTCCCAACCTACCCTTTGAACCGGTCCTTAAGTTGGTTCGTTATGTCATAGCACTAAGATGTTCTAATCTCTCTTGGAAATTAGGAATCATTGTGCTTGACATGAGGCAAACCACCTCATTTTAGTCGCTAAGACGTCTTTCATACATGTCTCTAGCAGCCCTAGTAGATCTAGTTGGGGGATCCTCATAAACAAGTTCCTGAATAGCATAAAGTTTCTTTGTGAACCTGAGCATATTTCTCCGGTTTTAAAACCATAATTCATGCCATTGAGGTTATCCTATTTGAGGAGATTTTGCAGTGAAAAGTTTGTAACAAAATAATTTGTGTTTGAAGACACTAACTAAAACAAGAATATTTACTAGTAATTTGATAATTATCCTTTATAAAATTAACAACTGAAAAAATATTTATCAAAGGCTAAGATCTATCACTTCTAGTTGTGAAAGTATGTCTTAATTAGAAAGAGAAGTTATTTAGGTAGATACAACTCTTTACTTATTCTAATCTCTATGGAACTCTTAGATCGGTGCATGATTTATTGGTTTTTACTGAGTGAACATTTGACGTGTTTAATCCCTCATTCACTTATCTCTTTTTTGTGAAGAGTATGCCAAAGAACACAAAGAAAGATAGTAAATCGTTCATTTAAACATACACGAAACACGATGTATGGCTCAAGACTCACTGGTAGTGAGTAAATCATTGCTAACATATGTGATGTTCAACTTAAGACTCACTGTTAGCGAGTAAATCATTTATGTTTGTGATTACGATCATTAAGTATTGAGTTGGATTGCTCACTAACTATTTGTAGTTTGTAAATTACAGTTACTTGTAAGTCTCATTATTTCAAGTGCAGGTACAAGTGGTAAAGAGTCATTATTTCAAGTGTAGGTACAAATGGGAAAAGTAAACGGGTGGCTTAGCTTGTAGATGATACGAAGAGACTTAGAAGAGTTGCCATTGTAAAGTTTGTTGTTCAATTTGTTAATATGGAGTTAAACCATATGTACGGATGAAGTGTTAACAAGAAAAAAAAAAGTTGATATACTTTGTTTTATTATTTGGAGTGTTAAGAAAATATAAAATGCTTTATCATCATAATCTTCACTTCTAACAAGCAACCATCAAATACACTTTTATGATGACAAAAACCATCCTTTTGCATCCAAGAGACAGATCTAGAGCCATTTTGATTGTGGTGGGTTTTTAAGTCAAAATAGTGCATGATATATCTTGTACAGATTCTAATTTACATGTCATCATCATCCTCTATCAACAAGTAGCGTAATGTTACATGTAATAATATCTCAAATTATCAAATTTATAGATTATTGTCACAATGTACCATCCAATTTATTTGTTTAGAGCATGGTATATGATAAAAATTCATTCGACTGAAATCATTAATCAAATCAATAACAGAATGCATAACATATAAATAAAAGTATGCATGAAACTTCTAAAATGAGTATATTTGAAACTTAAGAAATAACATCGTCTTATTACAAGTAATGGATTCAGCAAACCCTTCGATTATTGGATTCTCTAGCATCATCAATCTTCACACGTCCAAAATGCTGAGGAAAAGCAACAAAGATGACCTGCCAAATTTAAAAATAATAAAAACAAAAAAGAAAGAATATTGTTAAACAAGATGCCAAATGTTCAACTTCTTTCTTTAGTTGTAGTTAGTAGTTACCGATTGTGTTAGATGCGATAAATAGCAATCTACTTTTATTTATGTGTATTATAGCATTCTACTTTCGTTTCTTTCTATCACAACTTTGAAATTTTCTTATTTATGTCATTAACTTTGAAAAATCTACCCTAATTATAGCAATGAAAATTGCTTTATATTTAAGATTATATTGCTATATATAATCTGTAGATTTTTCAAAGTACAATTCTATAATAGGAAGAAATAAAAGTAGGATGTTATAATAAACAAATCAATGAAAGTATTTTGTTATTTCTAGCATTTAACCCCTTACAAAACTAGCTTTAAAATAAACATCTGAAAGCAATATGAATTCAAAGAAACTTGGCAACATCAAACATGTGGGTGGTCATGTCAAACACTCAACCCTAAGACATTTACAACTCCATTAATGAATCACATGACCTATACTTCTCGAACAATCATGGCTTACAAAAAGAGACCAATGAATCAGAATATCAGATGATCATGAAGGTTTGGAGAATAAATGATTGGTTTTAAGGTACACACTACACAGAAACCCATTGGAAGATTGCAAAAAGGGGAAAAAAAAAACAAATAAATAAATGCAGGCCCCTATGCTTTGTGAGTTGTAAGAAACAAAAAAAACGGCTTTGTACATACAAATTCCTTTATACTTGCAAAAAAGGTTGTTATCATGAGTGAAAGTGTGGAACCTAACCTCGCTAATACTAAAAACAAAACCTAAAAATCTGCAAATCAGAGAAAAAAAAACTAATATTTAAATTTAAAACTCAAGTCATACAAGGTCTTGATGGAGGTAATAATGGGTGGTTGCCTCATATTGTTTCTTGCTATATAACAAATGGAGCAATATGAGAACAAAATATCTATATACAGCTTGTAACAAAAACTAAAAAGGAACAATATCTTACCAGATAATCTGATTAAAGGAGATGTAGATCTTGTGTGGTACCATATTACCACCATCTGAAATGGGCATAGCTTCGATTGGTGGAAGCAAGTCCATGAAGAACCTCTCTTTTCTTACGTGCAGTTCCTCTCTTCCTGTAAGCATCCATTATCTCAGCAAACAAACATTCCTCCAATTTTGAGCTATGATTAGTACGTCGTTTTTTAGCTGCATCAAGGATCCAACGAACAGCTAAAGTTTGTTGCCTATCCCTGGCTACAACCCCAGGGACATCATAAATATTACCAGCTATTCTTACTTTTGCTACTTCACAAATGGGTTTCACATTCTCTAGGGCATCGGATATAAGTTTCACTGCATCACGATCAGTACGAGCTAGCTTGTGAAGAGTTTCATGGAAGATAGCACGAACTCTTGTCTTTTTGCCTTCTTTCATGCGAAAATTCACCAACTTATGGATCAACTGTTTTTCATCACCATCCAATCCCCCCATGTAGTTGAGAATTTCCGAGCCAGTGTAAGCCACTTTAGACTGACTAGTGGTTGAAAACTGTTGCAGAAACAGTGGTGTGATAGGCGAACTTGAACCATGGAGTTCTCTTAGAATACCATTCCACTGCCTACCAGCAGCAACGCGAATCATCTTTTCTAAACTACTCCGACTGAGTTACTGTACTTAATCACAAGACCTGAAAAACCTGCAATCAGTAGCAAAGCTTGGAAGTTAATTTTATTGGGTTGTCATTTGAGAAAACGCTAAAAATTACTGATTCCATACTTGAAAGTTGAAACATTGCTATGCTAGTTATTCATAAAACATAGATGGACAACAAGTTTTAACGTCCAAGAATATATACACAAATGCATACGTAAATACGCACAGATATATAGACACACCAACACATGTTTACAAACACATTCATCCATTTTCCCCAATCGAAAGCAAAATCTATAGCATATATAGAAACTATCGATGAAATACAAACCTTCTAGGGCTTAAATCGAGGCTGATTAGACTTCCTAGCTTTGACGCTGAACTTAATCGAGGGAAATTGCAACCCTAAGAATTAGAGGACATCGGCGGAGGTGAAAAGGGGTTAGACATAGGAAAAATGAATCTTCACTTCACCGAGAACTTTCTCCGGATAATTTTCGAAATAAGTTATGAAAATGGTCCCTGTAGTTAGAAAAGGATTGCATTCTCTTTTTATAAGACAAATCTTGGTAAATGGTGAATGTGGTTCTCGTAATATCATGTTTTATTTTAAGGATCTCCAACCTACCTCCAAACTTTTTTTTTTTCATTTTTCCTCCATTCTCTTTCAACCCTATCTTATTTTCATCTCCACTTTTGGAGATATATTTGGGGGAATACTATTCATATCTTCAAAAATGGAGTTGAAGTTTCGGTTGCCAATTTTAGTCTCTCTCATTTTTAGTTTATTTTTATCTACTAATTATAATTTATGTGCAATATTTAATAATTGTAATATTATGTTATATTGAAACATCCCAAAAAATACAACCTAAAATTTTCATTTTAAAAATCATTAATAAAACCATAAGTATCGTCAATCATATAAAAAGTCATAAATCATGTATCTCGAGAATATAATAACATTTGTCAATGTATCAAAACCATATGTCAAAACATCAGAGTGAATCATACCAGACTAAAAACTGTGGTGTGTGTCATGCAGTCATCCCCGAGCTCTTCCCCTTACTAGCGGAAGTACCTGAAATCAAAACTGAAAACTGTAAGCACGAAGCTTAGTGAGTCTCCCCAAACTACCACATATCATACACATAATCACATAATAACATACATTAGGCCTTGCCCGCTACATCGGGTCTCGCTCGGCATCGGACCAAAGTTTGGCATCGGGCCCCACTCGGCATCGGACCGAAGTCCGGTATACATATATCATATCAACAAGCATATAACATAAACACATAACATAAACATATAAACATTCCTCGGGCTTGCCCCGACATCGGACTGAAGCCCGGAACACATAACACATAACATATAAGCTAAAAATTCCTCGGGCTTGCCCCGACATCGGACCGAAGTCCGGAACATATAAACGAACACATGCAAGAATCACGGAGACATCAAGCATACAAACATTCCTCGGGCTTGCCCCGACATCGGACCGAAGTCCGAAAGCATATAAACTACATCGGGCTAACCTCGGCATTGCTAGCATACATAAACGGGCCGGCCTTGGTGCCTTAGACTCGTTCCTACTGGAAGAGGACTCACCTCACAAAGTTGGCTGCTGTATCTCTCGGTAAGGAATCTCTATCGGCTGCTCCCACGACTCCCTGAGCTATCATTACCAAATAACACTTAGTCAAAATCCAAACAATCCTTCTTAGGGTATAATGACCATTTTACCCCTGATCTAAATGGACCCATGACCTAAGCCCAAATCCATAACATGAAGGCCCAAATCCATATATTCACACCAGGGCCACTAATGGCCCACTTATGGCCCAATTTTCTAAATTGGGCCCAACTTCTCAAATGGGCCTTCCCTCAAGTCCAATATGCAATAAAATCCATTATCAACCCAAAACAATAATCCACTAAGGCCCATAATCAACTAGTCCAAGGAAATGGCCCAAAAAGGCCCACTGTCGCAACGAACGCAAGGCGTTCCTTTGTGGAACGTTGGGCGTTCCTCCTTCGTTCAGATCGCGAGCTCCAGTGGGAACGCAATGTAAGTCCCCAATCTGCTTGTGTATCAATCAGATCCGTTTAATGGTGCGGAATCCCAATCAAACGGATGATGCCATATCAAAATAGAAGAGAAGGAGAATAAGATGATGATGAATCTTGTATGAATTGATTAGAATGAAGATCCAGATACAAGAGATTCACACACACAAAACTTCTCTCTAGTTTCTCTCTCTAGAATATGCTCTCCTTCTCTCTAGCCTTACACTCCCACTTGTCTAGCCTTACACACGCATTCCTCACCCTATATATAGTAGACATGGGCCGTGAATAGGTTTACGGCCGTAAACCTGTTCACAGCCGTAAACTCATATACAGCCGTAAACACTAAGTTGTTTACGGTCCTAGACATAAAAATACATTTTCCTAGAAAAGTAAAGTATAAACCAATATTTTAGACCTAACAATCTCCCCCTTGGTTTATAGCTTTCTTTTCTAATTGACCCAACAAGCTCCCCTAAAAAGTAACTGCCTTTTCTTGTTAATCTTCATTGGGAGCTTTGACTTCAGCTTTAATCTTCGATATCTTCATGACTTCAAGATGAACATATGAATCTTCAATAAATGACTTCATCTCGAGCACTTGGGCTTTTCTTCAGAATTTGGCATTAAACGCACGTTGGGTGAGGAGGCTTCTTGATAAGATTCTTGAAAGATAGCGCTTTCAACTTGAGAATCTTCAGAGAGAACTAATCTTCTGGATCACTTCAGCAGGTTCAAGAAAGCAGCAGATTGATTGAGGAGGCTTCAATGCAATATGTCACATGATCTTCAATTACAGCTTGACCTTGCTTATGGGGTTGAAGGATTGAATGTTGAAAAAATAATCTTCATTTCTTGCTCCTTCGAATGAGAATTCTTCGATGCTCACGGGTGAAGCCTTGGCTCAGAAATTTTCGATCCAGTCTCCATGAGTCTCATCTACATCTGAATTCACTTTTCAAGACAAAACAAAACTTAAAAGAAAATTTAGCATACAAAACGGAAACAAAAATATTTTTGGATTTTTGATTTTTCTGAACAAGAAATAAAACAGAAACAACACTATTTTTGGATTTTGAATTTTTTAATTTTTGTTTGATTTTTGAATTTTTCTTAACTTTGTTTGATTTTTGATATTTTTATTTTTTTTAATTCTCCACCTAAATTTATGCATAGAGGAAAACTATGAGCAAATTTAACAAAAACAAAAATATTCGGGATCAAAGTTGTCAAGCAATCCAATATCGTTTATCAACACACGCCTGCATGTCTAGATCTGGTCAATCACCGGTATTGTGGTCCACTTAAACACAAAGGATGTTGACAATTTAGACAGATTATAAGTGACAAGTCATTGTGATATATATTCTTAAATGGACATTTAGCTGGCGACGACCAAGGATATTGTTGTCCACTTAAATTAAGCAACAAGATCTACAGACAACCTATTAAATGATTCAATTTTAGATGTACTAGAACATGTTTCCCACTTCCCGATATACCCCGGTAATCAAGAACTTCCAAAGAACTCCTTACTTTAGGTGAGTATACAATTATTAAGAAATAAGTCAGATATAGAAGTGCATATGTTGTATCCCAGGTCGGATGTCTTCCAATCACACAGAGGGGACAACATATGACTAACAGAGATAGAGGGATTGAGAGGTAGAGTGTTGCATATGCTGTGTCCCAGGTCGGATCTTCCGATCACGCAGAGGGGACAGCATATGGCTAACAGATAGAAAGAATTTCATAGATAAGGAGGTGCGTAGAGATAGAGTTGCATATGTTGCATTCCAGGTCGGATATGTTCCAATCACGTAAAGGAAGCAACATATGACTGACAGATAGAAAGCAAGAAAATAATTTCCTACAAACCTACTTTATCAGACCCCCCCCCAGTTGCCCTATCAATACCGGAATTAAGGACATGAGTCCATACATCAAGGAAATGTTGAGCCACAATTCTAGATAATTAACTTTTAGTGTATCTCGCAGGTTCCCATGTTTATCTCACTGCTCAATCTACCCGAGCGTCGTATGGTCAACCCAAATGAAACTATCTATGTGCATATTAGTCAAGTCCTTTTAATTTTCAAACTGAGTCTAGTCCTTTTAAATCCTTTGTGCCTACCAGCACATTGAATACAAAGTCTAGACAATTCGACTTTAGTGCATTACACGCATCATAAATTGCTCTTTAGCACTATACTTCATATCACTTCCCGAAACAATACCTACTAAATAAATACATATAAGGAAATAAAAAATTGTCTTTGAAATGAATCAATGTAAGATAAACTCACGAGTATAGAGAAGAAAACTCAAACCGTAAGTCACCGATTGAATTTGCATCCAGAAGGTCTGAGAACAGCACGCATAATCTCAGAACAGATCCGAAAATTCTTCACATCGTTAAGAACAAACCCCATGAGTGATCCATTTCTCTTTCTTTCCCGCAAAGGACACATACTCTCAAACAATGTTCTGAATGTTGTACAGTTGAGAGATGCCTCCTATCATGTGCCAGAAACAACCACTATCAACAAACCGAAGTCTGATGATATGCCTCCATAGCTGCTCCAGCACAGAGCGGGATCAGTTGGCCTTTGGAATCCAGTCCATTTTGAAACTGGGTTGACCTTTGTCATCCTTGCAAGGTACTCTCTCCTATGACATGTTCTGTTTATCACAAACAGCAGATGTAGAAATATTAGAATCATTAGAAGATTTGGGAGATTGAACCTTTGGTACCCATCTGTAGTTGGGTTTAACCCATTTCTTTTTCGATACGATGGGTGCCTCGGTACTTGATTTTGAACTGGAAGCCGATCGTCGAGATGACTTTGACCTAACCGGTCTTGATTTCGCTGGAGCATCTCTTGGATTGGACTTTTTGGCCGACATTCCCTTCTTGC